GAGGAAGAAGACACAGGAGACATGACAGACCGGGTTGAAAGAAGGGGAACCCCAGACAGAGGACCAGGAGGGGGACCTCTCGGGAGAGAACTCAAAGGAACAGAGGAGGGGGCAGTGGGCGTATCAGGGTCCAAGGCCCGGAAACGGTTGAGAGTCTGAGGAAGGGGGGAAGGACGAGGAGAGGAAGAGCGCAACACGCGAGCATAAGAGATGTTAGTATAAGGGGGAGCCGGCGAACCTGGCGCCTCGCCTCAGGAAAAGATAAACGCTCCCGGTGCTTCAGGTAAAGGACGGCTGCCTCAAGCTTGTAATGGACACACGCTCGGGAGAAGGTAGGATGGACCTCACCGCAGTTGAGACAGCGAGCTTGGGGAAAAGGTGCACTCCGACTTAGAGTGACCTTCACTCCCACACAAAGGACAGAGAGAGACAATCCCAGAGCAGCGGAGGGCACCATGCCCAAACCTCCAGCACTTGTTACAAAGCCGAGGAGAAGGGATATACTCCTGGACAGAGCACCTAGCACCAGCAAGAATGACAGAGGATGGGAGGGTCCTACCATCAAAAGTGATCTTCACAACGCGAAGGGGTTCACGGCGACGACCACGAGGGGGACAAGTAAACGAGTCAACCTGGAGGACAGAATGGCCTTGGGCATCAAGGATATGCCGAATATCATCGTGGCAATCCTGCAGATTCCGAACACCGGTTGCAACATGGGATGGGAGGAGAATAGTGCCAACACTGGCATTCATCTGAACGTTCTTGGAGACCCGAACAGGGATCTCGCCAAGGCAAGATAAGGCAGCCAAGCGGGAAGCCGCATCCTGAGAAGGAGCAGCAACGACACGTGTACCGAGACGAATGGGGTTGAAAGTAACAGACGCATCCACGGAATCTACAAGATGCCGATGGAGGGAGAAATCGTCAGGAGGCGCAGAATCAAGAGGGAGGAGATCAAAGTATTTGGCCCATGAAGCAGGACCAAACAAGGCCTGATACGCATCAGCACGGAAAGGAATCGAGCGAGTGCGGTTGGGGCGCGAACGGCGTTGAGAACCCCTAGAGAGAGAGGGGTCAAAAGGCGCAGTAGTCACACCAGGCAACGAAGTGGTCACCACCGGGGGCTGGAGGCTCGACCCAACCACAGAGGAGGGAGGGGAGCTGGGGGAAGAAGTCAGGACGGTCAAAGGAGGAGCAAGGTCGGGGCCCAACGCAGCGGGAGCTACAGAGCCTGGTCTTCCAATACAGGCCGACTCGGGGGCTTGGTCGCCCACCCCACGAGCCTGAGAGGGTACAACGGAAACATTCAACGACATAGAGACGAAAAGTGACAAATTCATCCACGAATGTGCCCCCATACCCACCATGGAGCCACAATTAGAGGCAGGACACCCAACAGGAAGCTATCGCCGATCATGCCTGGGCCCCCTAGGGGTGCGTCGTGAGTATACGCCCCACAAACGCCACCTTAAGAACCGTCAGTCCGTCGAGATCGGGTTCAGCGACGAAAGGGGGATTGACAATAAAAGGTTCCCCTCGCTCGAGACGTTGGGTACTACAGTTCTACGGGTGCAAGAGTATGCCTCCTTAAGCACCCGGGCGTCAAAATAGAAGAAGTCCAAAGAAATAATCCGAAACAAGCAAAAGGTCGGCAGGAAACGACAAGCAGATAGGAGAAGAGGGGGGAGAAAAACGAAACATAAGAAAAAGGAAAAGCGATCCAGCACAATTGGAGAAGGCAGCAGCAGAAGTGCAAGGCCAGAAAAGGACAGAGGACTGCCCAACGGAGCATCACACTCCGGCAGCCGTCCACCAAGCCCCCTCACGATGCCAACGGGCCGGATGGGGAGGGGGTATCTGGCGAAGAGGAGGAGAGCAAGAGGTCGCCGAGTCCGCGGGCGCGCTTTTAAGTTCCCCGCTCGATGCGCGCGCTACTTAGTCGGTTAGACAAAATCATGGTAATACATTTTCTTCCCCACAGAACTTCGCCGGTGAAGTTCTGAAGTTTTGGATGAGGTGAACAAAGCTTTCAACACAGGACAGAACACGAAACAATGGGTATTAATTGGGTAAAGTAAAGGTAAGAATGGAAGTAACTGCAGAGGGCCTATTGGCCCATATTTTTTGATGCTTCTATATTGGAGCGGAGTCTTGAAGTGGGTAGAATATAGTTGAAAATTAATTGGCTGTTGACTGGTGGTGTTCCTTCAGTAAGCTTGTCAGCCCACTGTTTTTGACCCTGCTTGAGAAGAGCCAATAATCCACGTTTCTCTTCTTCTGACAGAATTGGGTTTTCAATGGTGTATGTGTTAGAATCCTGGAATATAATATTTAAAACATTTTAAGGTCAAATATATACTGTACCTATTTAGTTGTATATAATGCAAATATATAAAAGTATAGATTCAGTAAAACAGAAGGATACAAATAATAATTAAAGCCATATTCTCCACAGTACCACTCTTGAAAATGGAAGTGTTTTATAGTTGAATTCTGAAAGGTGATGGCAATATTACTCTGACTAATTGAACACATTTAGGTGAGTTGAGTGTTTTGAAGATCTAAATTGCAAAAAGTATTTTGAATTTCTTACCTTGCAGAGACATGAAGGGAAAGAATCACATTGTAAATCTTGAATATACGCGGATATTTTGTTCCTTTTCTTTTTGTAGTACTGTAACCATGTTATCATTTCTTGAATGGTTAGTGATTCCTCCTCTCTACATCTCTTCTGGAGATCAAATTTTACACTGCACTTCTTTTTTCAGTCAGGGACACTAAAATGCAAAATGAAAATACAGTATGTGATTGACAAATTATATTAATAGGAATCATTTGTGAATTAAACATCATTAAAAATTGTATCTATAAAATTTACCTTTAGAAAACAAACTCAATTTAATGGTATTGCAGTCTTTCCATATATAAAAGTACAATTAATACAAATAATATATAAATATTTGAAAATGCTGAGAAAACTAATGAATCATTAGATCTTGTGTAAATACCACTTGTGTTTTGATGAAGCTGAACTTTGATGAACTTGTCAAAAATATTTGAAAAACTAATCTACAAGCAGCTTTACTCTTATCTAGCCAAACACAATATACTTAACTCTTGGCAATATGGCTTCAGACCCAAAAAAAGCACTAACGATGCACTTATTAGTATGATTAACTTGATTCATGCAGCTCTTGATAAAAATGAGTTCCCTGTTGGGTTATTTGTTGACCTGCGGAAGGCTTTTGACACTGTCAACCACCAAAACCTTCTTCTTAAATTACATCATTATGGAATCAGAGGAAACTCCCTGCAATACCTCAAATCTTACCTTACTGACAGGCTCCAGTATGTTTCTGTGAATAATTCAATTTCTCCCACCCTACCCATCAACATTGGTGTTCCTCAGGGCAGCATACTTGGCCCTCTCCTCTTTCTCATCTACATTAATGACCTTCCAAATGCCTCCCAACACCTCAAATCAATTATATTTGCTGATGACACAACCTTCATTTACTCCAGTCCTGACCCCCTTGCTCTAAATGCCACGGTAAATACTGAGCTAAATAAAGTCCATCTTTGGCAAACTGCCAACAAATTCACCCTTAACATTGACAAAACTTTCTATATTCTGTTTGGCAATAAATCCTCTAATCAAATAAATCTCAGAATTAACAATACCCAAATTTGTAACAAATTAGATGGCAAATTCCTTGGCGTTCTCATTGACCACAAGCTGAATTTCCAGGGACACATTCTAAATATATAAAAAAAGTTTCAAAAACTGTTGGCATTCTTTCTAAGATCAGATATTATGTACCCCGCCATGCCCTGGTGACGCTCTATTACTCCCTCGTCTATCCATATCTCAACTATGGTATTTGTGCTTGGGGTTCTACTACCCAAAATCATTTACGTCCTCTAATTACTCAACACAAAGCTGCCATTAGGACTATATCCAACTCTGGCCCCAGACATCACTCGGTACCCCTACTCAAATCTCTGAATATGTTAGATATTAAGTCACTACACATTCTCTCATGTGTATTATACATATATAAAACGCTGAACTGTAATGCCAATCCTGACCTCAAAAGCTTCATTGAAGGTTGTAAAAGAGCCCATGAGCACCACACCAGAAATAAATTCAGTTTTGATATTCCAAGAGTACGACTTAATCAAACTAGAAATGCTCTACAAATCAAGGGACCCAGAATGTGGAATGACCTTCCCAACCATGTTAAAGACTGTACCTCTTTCAACCAGTTTAAGATAAAAACGAAGCACTACCTAATAAATTCCCTGTAACCTACCTTACCCCTCTATTGTCAACCCATGTTTGTTTTCTTAAATAACGCTGTTTGTCGACCTATTTGTATTTGTGCTGCTTTTTCAGCCATGTTTCCCCCGTTTTATCTTTATTTTTATTTGTTCTCAACACATTTTATTCTTTATACTCATTTAGTATTAAGTATTAGTCATTAAAGTTTTTCCTGCCCGAAACCCTTTGCGTAATAGTGGCTTTCGGCATTGTATGTACTAGCTCTATCTATAAATCTATCAATTTATGTAAAATCTCTTGTATGTATGTACCTTACCTGAATAAACATTTTATTTTATTTTATTTATTTTATTTTTAAGCAATGAATTGTGCCATGGAAGGATGCCAGTTAAAACATCTGCTTCAGACAAATGCCGATAGTTCTGATTGTAGATTTTTATGAGATCTCGTAGTTTTTTTTCTCAACTTCATTTTTGTTTCTCAATACAGCTCTCATTTTAGATGAAACTGTAAAGTTTCAGGTTGTTATCAAATATTTGACTTGCACTAATAGTGTTTTACATAGAAAAACTAATTTAACAACTATGTAATGTATAGGTTTCAATGAACAAACAAAAAAGCAATTAATGTCTTCCTGCATAAGTGGTAATCTGATTTTTGCGATGCCTTATATTCTCTCCATATGCCTCGATAGTATGCTCAATGTTGTTGGAAGAGGATTTGTTATTTAAGGATCTTGCAATGATCAGTAATTCTGATCTCCATTTCTCAATAACAGATTCTGGGACATTAAGCCTGTGAATCTCATTTGAAACTGCTGCAGCTGTCTCTGTGGCCTATTTAAAAATAAATGCCATCATATTTATTGTAAAATTTATGTTCAGAATTACACAAAGTCTTTTGCACTCTCCTTAGTGCTTTGTCAAGGTCTGAGTATGTGTTTCTCAGATTCAGAACTTGACAAAGCACCAAGGAGTGTGTGAAAGACTTGGTGTAATTCTTTACATAAATTTCACAAATACACAAGTGGGTTTTTATCCAATTTTACTTTGTCTATGAGAAGAAATTACCATTAGTGTATTATAATAAGATTAAAGATAAATAAAAACATGTATATACACTTGATTCATTGTATAGAACAATTGTATATTTTTGTATATTTATATATAATTCTATATTTTCATTGTATAGAACAATTCATATGTTAATACCTTTCTGAATCTGGCAACTAATGCCCGAGGCATTCCATTAATTTTTCTGTGATTCCAAAAGAGTGCCGCCTCTGTCAGTTCTTCTGTACGCTCTGTGGAAATAAATTTAGTTATTCATTGACAACTTAATACTGTGTGTCCCAAAATACTGATTGGAAAGTAAAAGGATGATGATATTGATGCTGTCTTAAGTGGAATGAATTCATTGTTATTTCAGAGGAAACAAAGAGCTCAAAAATAGTGGTAGAGTAATAAGATTAAAAATATCAGGATGTGAAAGAAAGCATAAAAACAGGGACAACTTGATTTTTCAAACAAGGATTATACATGTATATGTTGGTTGCATATGAGTATAATGCTACTTTATATGAGCCAAAATGCCTTTCTGCAGTTTCCTATATTCTTATATTATTTTATAACATTATTTGGATATATATAAGCATCAAATATTACCATTGTACTGATTTGATTGAAAGGTACAAAATTTAGAACTTGATTAAACAAAAATTAACACATACCAGCTTTAAGCATGTTCTTAGTGTTGTTGTTATATCTTGAAAGGTAGGAAAATACTTGCTCTGCCTCCTCCCCAGATGTCAGGCCATTTCCTTTTTGCCACCGCCCTTCATACAAAACCTTTGACATAATAACATAATGTTTGTTAAAAACTACCTACTGTATTAACATCCCGCCCCCCACAAACAAAAAAAATTGAAGTAAAAATTTTTTATTTGGCAAGGGACTCAAGTGTGGCTATCAATATATGTGTAAACCAACCCATAAACAATTCTCTGTATGGTTATAAATGCGTATGTGATATAAATACGTCTTCATAAGTGAAGATACAGTGGTAAAGAGAGTGAAGTATAAATGGTTATATTGATGAAGACTGTAGCCTGGGTCACCTGAGCAATGCCAGCTACCAATACTAGTATCAAATAAATGTTTCTTAAAGTAACCTACCACTTAAAGTTACAAAGATGCACAAATTATTGGAGCTTAAAGTTGTGAACTTGCTCTCTTTGCAGTTCGGGCAAGAATTAGGTGGATGTGCTGGTACAACAGGCTCTGGTAACAATTAAATTTACAAGATCAGCTATACAGCAAAATAAATACATGTTTCAATCATTACATCTTAAATTACTAATAAATTTTTTAGCATTAGCTGGAGTTACATGAAAGATTTATATTTAATAACAAATAAAAATTCATTTATTTAACTAAAAATCATTAATAAATGAGGTGATCAATAATTAATGAGGAAAATGACCAATACAAAATCTACTATAAAAATTACATGAATTAAATAAAATTTTAAAACACTCCTTGGTTCAGGATAGAAATGAGAGTATAAGAAACAGACTACAAGTAAACTACAGGTACATTACTTACTCCAGTGAATGACATTCCCATCTGAACACACAATTTGTGTTGGGTCTAAAGGGTCGAAGAACCCATTTTTCCAGCAGAATCGCTGGGGAAAAGGCATTACAAAATGCTGCTGCTGATCACATTTATGACACAAAAAATGAAAGCAGTCTTCACATTTTATGCTTGCCTCACAACTTCTACATTGTACACAACATTTGCCTGGTTTTCCAAAAAATAATGTAATTATGTACTTGGAATGTTAATACTGGATTTAGAAATATTGTATACCCAAGTTTAAAAATGACAAACATCTAAGTGTATTCAGAGATTGACATTAATCATGCCTTTCATAATTACATTGAAATTTAACCATAAACACACACTAAAGATGTTATTTACCTTTATCTGGAACACCCAACTTCGACAATGTCCAGCTAAACAGCATTGACCTACGTTCTCCCGATTTAATATCACTATTTTTTCTTCTTTTTTGCCAATCAGAAATGCTTGCTTGAGAATCATAAATTTCCTCCAGTTCTGCAGCAAGTGCTTTGAAATATGGGATTCTAAATTAGTCAGGAAAATCTTCAAGAGCAAATAGATGTAATAAATAAAAGTGTATTTTATACATATTATATAAGCATCTAGAACAACTGACAGCTTTAAGTAATGTGTTAGTTATACTATGATATATATATATATATATATATATATATATATATATATATATATATATATATATATATATATATATATATATATATATATATATATATATATATATATATATATATATATATATATATATATATATATATATATATATATATATATATATATATATATATATATATATATATATATATATATATATATATATATATATATATATATATATATATATATATATATATATATATATATATATATATATATATATATATATATATATATATATATATATATTATAGTAGTTACTAGGTACTAAGATTATATTACATTACATAGTTCAAATAGGGACGTACCAGAATTCAATGATTTTGGTGTTTGTTCTGCAGCTGGTAAATAGGTTTGAGTATATGTTGGTACACTCGTTGAGAAGTCAGAACTTTGAATGTGTGGAGGTGAAAGTGAAGCAAGCAGAAGGGCTGTTTGGCAGAAAATCAACCTTTAAGTATGGTAATTCCACAACACTATCTATTTTTAATTTGTAAACTATCTACATTTTTTTGCTGTCTATGACCATCGGGCTCTAAGTATTGGTTTTGCCCTGCGCCTTGCTGCCCCTATCTCCACCGAACACCGGTGTATTTGCGGCTATGCAAGGGCAGACCAATATGGCAGCCATGGCCTAATCTGTCATAAGACACAGTGAAAGATTGCCAGATATGAAGCAGTCAATGACATTATCAAAAAAAGTTTGGCTAGTTTGGTTCAGATGTAATACAAACAAAGAGCAATGGTTTCAAGTTCAACAAACCAAAATGTAGGGCTGACAACAGGAAATTATTTTTGACCCAGAGGGTTATTAACTCATGGAACTCCCTACCCACCAGAGCTGTAACTGCCAAAACTGTGCTGAATTTCTAAATATACCCAAAAAAGATCATAAAGGCAAATGGGGGGAATTTCGACAAGCCGCGGGCTTCCTGTACTCTTCTAGGCTACTAGAGTTTGTGGCATTCAGGTAAATATCTGTTTTCAAAGAAGAAGTTGACTATAACCATGGATTATCTATAAACAAATTTTGAATAATAAAATACCAAAAACTTAAATAATTTTAAGTCTGAGGCAAAATGAAATCTACACTAGCAATTAAACCTATCATTATACTATGATATAGGAACACACAAACATGGGTCATGGAATAAATAACTAAATAAAAAATTACCTTCTGATAAGTTTGAACGTTGTGTTTGATTGATTTCAATAATCCTACAGTAATTTTCTCCTTTTCCTTTCTTGTTTGAAGGCTTCAGATAATTTAGGTCCTCAATATTTAAACTTCGCTTCATATATTCACATTTTTTCTGGAGAGCTGAGTTTATTTTCAAATATTTACGATGAAGGTTCTCTTTAGCTAAAATTGCTAGTGTCCGGAGACCTTCTGTTAAAAAAATATACATTCTGAATAGAATATATTATAACTAACAAGAGAAGCTACGTTAAATGTTTTGATGATATTGTAAATTTCTAAACCAATGATCAAAGTGATAGAAACTATAATGGGATGATGCATTTCAAGCCAATTATGCTGAGCATAGAAAAAAAACCAGCGTTGAATGTAATGAAACACCATTTTCTGGGTGAGTCCCGGAGCTATCCCAGGCTGATATGCTAATGTCAGACTTTGGCATCAGTCATGTGTATGGAGTTCCTAGGCCTACCGGGGACCATGGCCAGAACCGGGCCCCCTCAGAGAGGCAAGGGGAGCAATGGCCTATAGAAGCCCCTGTGTGGTTGGAAGCATTCTATGTCTGCCATCGACCGGATCAGGCACCCAGAAAGGTAAGCACCTCAAAACAAACCCCTATTCTGATTAAAATTGCTACCAAAAGCCGAACTAGTGGATAGAACTCCCCAACCGAAAACAAGCAAACTAGTGTGACGTCACACACCGCCGCGCCGCTGTTTGAGCAGCTCCCCCCTCCCCGGGAGGGGGAAGGGGGAGCCCCAGACCCCCCACGCCGGCTACCCACACCTCAGTTCATGAGGCTGGATGTCAAAAACGCGAAAAACCGCCGACCGGAGGGAGGGAGGGAGGGGTGCCGGGGAGCCTCCGGGACTCACTCAGAAAATGGCGTTTCATTACATTCAACGCTGGTTTTCTGGGGGGAGCCCCGTCGGCTCCCCGGAGCTAACTACCCACAGACGGAAAAAGAGGGACTTACCCGGGAGGCGGTCGTCGCTCACTCCTCAACTCGAAGCCGAGACAACTGGCTGCAACCGCCGACCCAAAGCAACACAGGCTCGACGGGGCCCAGGGACATTCACAAGGTAACGAGCAGCCAGGACCCTGTTCGACCGCCAAAATCCCCACGCCCGAATATCAGGCCAGGACATATTTCCAAAGACGGCAGCAAGAGCCGCGAACTTACAAACGTCATGGGCACGGGGATAGACCGCAGGCTGGCTGGACTTAATAACCCTGCAAACGACCTGGGAGACCCGAACCAGCGAACAGGGAAGAAGGGAAACCGGATCAACCCACAGCGCGTCCCCGGACACAGAAGCTGTAGCGCGCAAATAACGGCGAAGCGCCCCAACCGGACACAAAACATGATGCACCCCCGGCCTGACCAACCAAGCATCAACCACCCATGGACCCCTCCGGAACGCAGCAGTCTCATTCTTCGCCAGAAAAGAAGGAGACGGCTGCAAACGAACAAAACAATCACCACGACCAAAAGAGCAGAAACCCCTGCGCCGGAGGAGAGCATGAAGCTCCCTTACCCGACCCCCAGAGGCCAAAGCCAACAAGAAAAGTGCCTTGGAAAAACAATCCTGGACCGAAGGGGCCACAACGAAACGAGGAGACGAAAGGAAAGCGAGCACTCTGTCCAAAGACCAGGACGGCTCAGGCGACGCATGAGCAGGCCGGAGGTGAAACAATGCACGAGACAGGTTGCGAAACGGCGCAGACGTAACATCGATACCAAAAGCAAGCTGAAGCGGTTCCGCCAGCGCCGCACGATACGAAGCGACAGTGTTAGGCATAAGATGATGGTCTTGAAACAACCACGAGAGGAAGGACAAGACCACCCGAACACACAAGGAACTAACACGACGAAGACGCAAATAGAAACGGAAGGACGGCCAGGAAACTTCATACTGCCGCCGAGAAGAAGCCCTCAGGTGAGACACCAACAAGGAGGCCACCTGATCACCATAGAGATGATGATAGACTCGAGTCAAAAAAACCATAGGCGAAGATTCGAGGAGAAGATCGAACCAGCCACGTGACGTACCGGCCCGATCTGCTGAAAGAGGCAGAGCCGCGGGAAAACCCTCGGGTTCGGACACCGAGCAACCAGCGCCTGAAACCAAGGCTGGGCCGGCCACCAAGGGGCCAGAAGGACAACTCTCCCCTGGTAAGTCTCTAAGCGAGTCAGGACCTGGAGCAACAGCCGAACCGGGGGAAAGAGGTATAGGAACCCCCACCTCGAAGAGTCTAGCCTAAAGGCATCGACTCCGACGGCCTCGCGATCGGGGAAGGGCGTCGCATAAACGGGAAG